ATATGCTCTTGGTATACTTGCCTATGACCGGTTGATCGCAATATGTTTCCCTCTGCGTCAGAACTCAATCAACACAATGCGGAGCATGTCCTGTATTGTCAGCGTGAGTTGGTGTTTTGCTCTGGGAGTAACTGCATTTTCAACAGGTATAATGACTCGACTGTCTTTTTGCAATTCTGTCAGAGTGTTCAGCTATTTCTGTGACTATGCTCCTGTGTTTAGACTTGCCTGTAATGATTACACATTGCAGTGGTCTATGGCTTCAACTTGTAGTGTGGTGAATCTGATGGGCCCCTTTTCTTTCATTCTTCTGTCGTACGCCAGCATCCTGGTGACTGTGTTCAGGATGAAATCAGTAAGCAGCAGACTCAAAGCTCTCGGTACTTGTATTGAGCACTTAGTCCTTGTTGCTGTATTTTACATTCCTATATTTACTATTTTTTTAGTTGGGCTTTATGTGCGATCCATCGACCCAGACCAGCGTGTGCTGAGTCTGTCTCTGGCCTCTTGCCTCCCACCCTGTATCAATCCAATTGTATATTCTTTGAAAACCAAAGAGATCAAAACCAGAGCTTTAGCACTGGTAACAAAAAATAAAGTTGGCACACATCAAACACGCCAACAAAAAAGGGTTGATAAAACACCAAGAGTCTGAACTGTGTGCCATCTTGACAATGTCTGTTAGCAGAAAAGTCCCAAATGAGTCACCATCAGTTGGGTTTGACCACAAGGTCGCCAGTGTCAAGAAGGCTCTAAACAGGGTACTGTACTACAAACCCTTTAATGTGAATGTGATTTTATAAAAAGTTACATTGTGTGTAATATACTAATGCATGTTTAGTCGTAGTGAACCAATTGATCACTCAAGTCCTTAAACATATAAAAGTGCAATTGGACACTATCATTTTATCACCTTCATTCTACTCTAGCTGTACTCCAATAATGTGTCTTTTGTTTTTTACAGACATTAGATTTATTATGAATATCCTGTTAATATCCTGTTTTTGGGCCAGTGTGATATCAGTACATAAACTCCCTAATCATATATACATATACAGTATATCTCATATATCCAAACATGCATGGTTTGTAAAGATTTCCATTTATATTTTTGGAGAAAAAGACTGAGAAGATAACATGACAAATCAAATCTAATGCAACATAGAACCTACGAAGGTGTAGGTGTAACATTGTGATTAGATTTAATTATAACAATTCATATTAAAAAACTTAATTTCTTAAATTTGAAGCTACTTCAGTAAGTAAGGTTATGTTTGTCTGATGAGACGTTTCACTGATGAAAACAAGTGAATGATCACTCTGGTGGGGCGTGTAGGGCTAGAATCAGATCAAAGCATCATCCACAAGAACCACTTTCAGAACAAATGATGACGTATAGTGAGAAGCAAACATCTCATGAAGATGTGTGTCCAGACCTGAGGTTTTTTCATACCAACATTAAAACTTTTGTCATCTATCTATCTTATATTAACATGGACTGTAAAAAGCTTTCACATAGGCTGGAATGTTTGATTAATATGATTTATCCTTTACTTGCATTAAATATATGAACCTTTCATCTGTTTGTGCTTTATGTCTGTTTGAAGAACAGATTTTATTGACTTGATCACATTTAAGTGGCTTCACCACAGTAATTTTAGCGCTAGTGTAAAGTGTAGTAGTGAACCCAGTGTTTGCTTTTATTGGTAAATCAAATTATATTTTATTTGAAAGGAGCTGGGCTATTTAGTAGTATCTAGCTAAACTATACCATGAAGGAGTGCATGACTGATCAGGAATGGCACACATGCCAGATCCAGATCCTGGTTCAGACTTTTAAAGACTGCATGGTGCCTCTTTACAATACACAGTAAGAACTAACACTTTCCTTGCTGGTGAGATGGCCTGCTTAGGAGATAATTCTGAGGCCTGAGGCTTTACATCTCTCCTTAGCCATTGTTTTTATATCCAGCAGTCCTCACTGTGTCAAGATTTGAATATAAGTTTACAAGTTAAAAATGCAGTAATTCTAGTTTTCAGCCCAACAGAAGCAGATAACAGACCATGAAGGAGGCTCATTCAATTTTAGAGAAATGAAAAATGCTGTTGAAGTTGAGATTCACCGACTTAATGTCAATATCAGCAAACCCCAGTGAGTGCTGGCATGTGCCCTATGGCCCTATAAAGAATTGACTGCACTAAACATGTAACTGCTAAAATAAAAGATAATGTTTCAGATGACCAAAATGTACAATTCTGAGATTTTATTTATTGGACCACTGTCACAGATCTGTGAGCTGCAGCTGCAAAAAATCCATGCTTTACCAT